TGCCCTAAATGGGTATCACGTATGTAACTTTGCAGAAATGGTTACGTGAGTCCTTTTGTTCCCCTCCAAGCACAGCACCAAGACCCAGCTGCATTGCTCTTGTGGGACTGCCAGGGCCCCAGGTTGTTCTCGATGCCCTCAGACCACTTCAGTCAAGGAGGTTTCCAACCCTTTTAAAACCAAAGCCTGGGAAGCAGGGGACCCTCTGGTGGCACACCTACTGATACAGGTGGTGCCAGGACATGGTGTGTGTGTGCAGAGTGGTGCAGGGCCAGAGTGCTCCGTGGGACCCTCTCACAGCTCAGGGCACTGTTGCGACAGAGGTTGGCTCGCTTTGGTGTGTTGCAGTACTTCACCTTGGGCAGCATTGCACCATGTTCTGTTACAAACTGTAAATAGCTGTATATAGCTGTTTTGTACGTTCAGGAGCTGGGGTGAACTTTGATACGGGTTTGGGGCAGGTGTGTGCTCAGTGTGGGGCAGGTCAGGCGCGGCGCTGTGGGCATATGTGTGTTGTAATTCTGGGCATTAAATAGCTCCAACCTGATCCAACTTACGCCTTGCTGGACTTGTCTCTTTCTATAGTGCCTTCTGTAGATACAGCTAAACACACCATGCAATACAATGAACGAAACCATGGCAAAGGTGGTGTTTTTCTGTTTGTTTGTTTGGTTGTTTTTTTTTTTTAAGTGTAACTGACTGTGTAAAACTTTTTTAAAGGAAAAAAAGAAATCCAAGCTCAGCTGCAGGCTTGCCTATTGAAAAGATTCCGGGAGGCTACTCTGTTCTGACCTAAGGGCAGGTTGGTGCCAGCAGCCTGGGGCTGACCCTAGCCTCAGCTCTGCGCTGCAGGCAGGGCAAGGTGTGGAGCCAGGTGCCCACGTGCTGTGGGTAACTGACATGTTGTTTTGGCGTCGTTGTTTAGTGATGCTCCTCAATTTTGTTTATGTAACTGTATTATATTTTGTGAAAAGCTGAAAAAATTTTATTCAAAGAGAAGTATAGAGATTAGGTATTTATGAGGAAAAAGATGTGTGTGTCGTTTTCTTTGCTCATATGCTTATGCTAACCTGATAATTACCACAAAAGCTTACTGTGGGGAAAGGGGAGGAGTGTGCTGGAGGGCTGTGCTGTCTTCTTATCAGCAGGGATCAGCGGGGACTTGGGAGGCAACCGCAGCAGCCCTGTGCAGATGTGCTGCGGAGAGCACCAAGCCCTGCGCAGCTCTGCCCTTAGTGTGAGGCTGTGCGCCCCGGCCCACCCAGCTCAGGAGTGAGTTCGGTCTGCAAGGTGTTGGCAGCAGGTACTGCCGGCACCACCCCTGGCTTTGCTGACAGCGCTCCTGGGCAGGCCAAGGTCGCACCTTCCTGGTGGAAGACAGTTAACAATCAACTTTTATTGGTGCTTTTGCAGTTTGCACAGTATCGGTCCCTCACTCTGCCTTGAGATCGAGCGCTGAAGAGTTGCCCTTTGGTACTTAGCAGGTGCCAGCTCTTGGCAAGGAGGATGTTGCGTGCTGATTTAAGTGTCCTTGTTGCCATCTGCTGTACACTCTCCTGTGCTGAGAAGAGTGTGAAGGGAGGACAGTTATGGGTTAAGCTGGCTGTGCTGTGACTAATGGTGCAGGACTCTACTATCTAGTTAGGTGTGTAGGCACACACAGGTCCCACTAGATAGGATCTCTTACCTGAAAGCAGCATTCCAGTGCCCCATGATAAAACTAATTGAGCCAGCAATGCACTGACTCACCTGAGCCCTCTGTGGTTAGGTACAGACAGAGGACAGCCAGCAGCTGAGCCTGCTCTGCACAGGGCAGCTGCTGTGGGGCTGTGTGGGCATGCCCCACCTCAGCATGAGGACTTACCTGGGTGCTAAAGGCACCTTGCCTGTTAACAGCTGTAATGCCTGCTTGGCAGCAGGGTTACTGCCAAGGCTTCCTGAGAAGCCTGTGTTTTCAGTGCCTCAGAAAGCAGGGGTTTGGCAAAACTGCCATCCGCTGCCTCCTTGAGATCGATTTTGATCAAGAGAAGGGCCATCGCTGCAGTCATTTGTTGGTGAACCACCTGCAGGACTCTGTACAGCTACACGCAGCCCACCCTAATGGTGTGGTGTCACACACCTGTACTCTGTGTCCCATTGGGCCCATTCAGGCTGCCTTCAAGGCAGGTGCAGGCTCTTTTGGTATTGACTGGTGCAGTGCAGGAATTCAGCCTCACTTGGTGTAGGGAAAAGCAGTATCTGACAGAACAGGGATCTCCTGGCCCTGCAAATGGGGTTTTATATCACAGGGACAGGAGGCAAAGTGGTGATTTTGTTCCTGGAAATGCCTTGCTCCCTAAGGCAGCAAACTAGCCCAGGTTCAGCCCTGTGCTTTACCCAGCTATTAAACTGCATGTATGTATGTGAGCATGGTAGCGCAACAGTGCACTATATTCACTGCTACAGCAAGTATTTTGCCTTTTTCTCAGAGAACATTGTGAACAGCCAGGCATAAGCCCTGCTGCACTATGGGAATTAGCAGCTCGGGCTATAGGCAGCAGCCTGCCTTGTTCTGGGCTCTGACCCATCAACCAACAGCACCCACACAGCTGCTACCCCCCCCTGCAAACTCTGACCTCGATTGCTCTTGTGCCCTCTTCTGCTTGCTCAGGTTATTCGTGATGCGTATATTCTTAGCCAGAAGTAATGTTCTTGACATTTATTCAGCCTCTGAAGTGCCTGTCCTCTTAACTGCCAAACCCATACTGAAGTAGCTCTCATAAAAGTTCCCTTAGAAACAAAGTGCCCACACTCCCCATACACAAACGGAAAGGCCTTCTGACTCCCAAGGGCATCATGTAGCCCAGAAACACATCAGTGAGTTGCTGCCCATATGGACTTCTAGCACACACTGCTCACATTACTCTTGATGGGTCACGATATAGCTATTGTCTAGGCAAGCTGTTTCCTACCAGTTAAGCGGAACCATCCTGGGACTGAATGCAACCAAAGGTCACCTCACCTTAGATTTACTCTTCACAAACAAGCATTCTCATCGCAGGCTGTTGTTGCTGGGTGTTCTTCCAAGGGAACAGAGGTAGGAACACTCACTGTAATGCTAGTGTTTTAGCTATGATTCTATTATTTTTCCTTTTGCCTTTGTACGAAAAATACTGCCAACAAATAAAGCACAGCTCAGCTCCCCGCAGTACCCACCCTCCAAATGCAATTCCCTCTGAAATTGTATTTATCTTTGTTCTTCAACTGCACTCTTTTACTTCACACTGGTTACCTAAGAAATGCTGTAGGTATGTTTTCCAGGATCTCCCTCATATAGCCCAGAATATTAAGGGGAATTGCTATTTTCCCCTCTCTTAAAAAATCATGATTCTATTGGCAAAGTGCTCTGGGCTAAGCTACGGAAAAACTAAAACCAGTTAAAAGTTTAGGCAAAATTAAGTTGGGAGCAGCAGGTTCCTGGACAAGAGTACAGCTGTCTGAGTTGACACCCACCTGACAGCCAGATCAGCAGGATGAGCCTCGCTCTCCTTTGGCAAAAAGGTAAGTGAATGCCACAAGTTCCTGCTGAGCACCTTAGAGCTGAAGGGCTGCATCTGCAGAAACCATGTGCCAGTCCACAGTGAAGAGAATCCAGACCCATCACACAAAGTGAAAGGTACCTGGTTGTTGTAGATTCCTATTTAGCGCTCAAGGGATATTTTAAAACTTCCAGTTAGCACCAGACAGATACTGTAGCAGGCTGAGTCAAATTCCAAACTAAAACAAGTGGAAATAGCCAGGCAGTTACAGAAGGCTTCTGCTGTTCACCCAGCTGAGGGCCCTGGCCCAGGCTGCAGAGCAAGCAGCTCACAGTTGCCCAATGACCTCTGCTGCGGGCTTCAGAGACATTCCCAAGTAATCTCCGCAAAATGAACATGGGGGGAAGGTACAGGAGACAGGGGAGGCCTTAATGCACATTGATTCCACAGCCCCCCATTTCCTCTCAAACATGAAAGAAGCTGTACAGCAGCAAATAGAGGGGGAATTAAATCAGACAACTGTACAGAATACACAATTTACCTTTAACTTTAATTAAAATAGAGTTTATTAGCTTTTCTTTTAATACAAACATGAGAAAGGAAAACCACCTGAAGATGTAGCATTATTTCCAAAATTCAGTTGTGATCAATACCTGAAGTGCCAAGTTCCATGGATCTGAGAGCCAGGGGCAGGCATATTTGCATACCACAAAAGACAATATGCATCATTTTAGCAGCTGAGTGTAGCCAGACTGATTGTTACACTCAGACCCCCACTCCCTACCCCCCACTCTCAAAAGCATGTGGACTCACCATTTAGTGTGAGTTTCTGGACCTTGGCTAGATGAAGTGCACAGAAACTGTGCCAATTGGAGGGAGATCTGCTCCTAGACAAACCGCCTAGAATCTATTTGGATCCAAGAAGGGAAGATATTACAAAGGCTTGTAACAGGAAGAGTCTAGTAATACTTATCCTGCTTAGAATTCAGTTTCAGAGCCTGAAAGTAAGGTCCATTCCAAAGTCTCAGAAGGAACAAAAACCCAAGCCTTAAAAGCAGTTGCACAAAATAAAATTCACTTTGGAGGAAAAAAGAAAAAAAAGTTTTACAGAAATATTTTTGATAATTTTCAATTAATTTTTTTTTCAATCTACCTGGTTAGGTAGTCCAAGATTCTCAAACTCTATCTTATCATGATTGTAAATCCCTCCCAAGAAACAAAACCTCAATGGGAGCCAAATGGATGCACGATATCAGCTTTAGGAACTCCACTGTATATAGCACAAGAGATCTGCAGTAGAACTCGAGAAGCAGTGCTGCACACATGCCATTCACCACTGGATTGCTACGCTGTTTGGGATGGTGATGATATTTCCAGACCAACTTTCTCATTCAATGCCTCAGAAAAAATATACAGCTTGCGTCTCTTCCAGAGCAATAACAAATATTAGAAAATGAGAGAAGCACCATAATTCACAAGAAATGCAGCATGGACCCTATATATTTTAACAATACAGAAAACCATCTCTCTGCCACCACTCAAAACATACTAAGTCCTTTGACAGTCTACTGGAGTGAAGTTGTTGGTGCAGAGTTGGGATTCCTTCCTGCTGTGCAGCTTCTTGGTTATGAACAGATCACCAATAATAGCAGCTTTTAGTAGCCAAACCAGGGAAAAACCATCAACACATGTCAAGGCTGTTGTTTTCAGCTCCAGAGTGGTTTGATACTTTAAAGAGTCCCGCGTTCTGTTTTTAACACCGCATTGACCTGAAGTACGAATGCGGCGAGACTCTGGATGACAGGGGAGAGGAGGGAAGAACATTGTAACTATAGTCATGTGGTTAGTGTTTAAATTCTAAAATTTAAAACTACTTGTTATTAAAAACCTCAAGAGTTCACAGCTATAGGCCTACATAGTAAGCAAACATCTGTGGGAAAAAGATGGAGAGAAGTTTGTTTTTGCATCTCTGGATAAATTAAAGAGGAGAGAGTGGATTTGACAAAGATCTTGTCTTGCACCAAGTATGCTCCTCAAGCTCTGGGCTCCCTTGGCTAATTTTACCCCTCCTCTCCTTTTGCTGGAAGACACCATCACCGCTGGCTTGTGTGCATGGAGTGGTGGTATTCCTCCAATTCGTGTGGACGCTGGTTCATGGTGCTGCACCTTTCTCTCTCCTCAGGAGAGGATGGCATTAGAACGGCGGATACCAACTAAATTATCAGCACTGAAAGATCGTCTCATAGCAGCTTTTGACAAGTCTTTGTATTTATCTTCACACAGCCGGGAGATAGCCTGGGTATCATGTTCAGAAACAAAAGTACACATCAGAAAAGCTGGAACATTTCAAGGAAGTTTTTACAAAGCGTCATACAAACAGCACAGGCACTCTGCAGCTGTGGCACTATTGTTTTTTTTTTACCTACAAGGTCAGTAAAGAACTACCACTTTGGAAGGAAAATATTAAGGGGGTCTCTCCTCGTGCTATCAAGAACCTTATCCATTAGGAATCAAGACACTAAAAAGGTGAGTCTTGTTATCTAATGGAAAACTTGGATCCATTTCAGACTTACAAGTTCATATAAGTTATGTTCCAAATTGTACCTAGTAGCTAGCACTGGTGTTTGGGCTTCTAACAGCACTAAAATGCACATAGGCATTTATGAGAGAATAGGCTCAAGCCAAAATGGTTTCTGCACTCCCTCAAGAACCCTGCCCTTGGTCACTCGGTACAAGTGAGCCCAGAAAACAGAGGTGTATGAGAGGGCTGGCTCTATTTTCCCTTTACCTTCTCTACACCTTCTCCTCCAGGATGCTTTTTCCACCAAAGACCACTCGTGTAGTCAGGTCAAGAAGGGAGGGCAGCTCTCTGCTCAGTGGCACAGCAATAGCTGGGGCATTAATACAGCTATTACATATCCACACATGTGGACAACTTCGTATTTAACTGTTTTTTCAGCCACTTACTGGCTTACCTCTGCTCTGCTCTGCTTATTTAGCTAGTCAAGCTGCCTTTATTCTGGTTTAGCCTTTTTAGTGCCAGCTTAATTATTTCCCGTATAACACACGATTGTGCAGAAAATGGTGCGTGTCCTCCCCTGCAAAGCCCATTTCTGACTGAAGCTTTCAGACACTATCAGTGCAAATAAATAAGGATACCAGTAATAAAAGGCTGAACTGAATTTCAGTCCTGAACATTTACTGCCATCAATAATTTGCCACCTATCAGCAGACAAACTTTCAGAGTGCTACAATCAGCTACAAGTCTACACCTTCCCTTTAAGGCAGCACCCATTCAGCACAGCCCAGCATTCTGACAGTTCAAAAGGTGAAAAAGCACTCTGAGCATGAATAAACCCCTAAGTGTATTTTAAAATAATTATTTACATTTATTTCTGCCGACCTTCTGGAGGCATGCATTTGGCTCGAGAGTGGCATTCTTTAAGACACTGGCTGTATGAGCTCCCAGTGCAAGACCAGACAGACTCTCCATCCTGTTTTAATGCTAGCACATCAATCATAAGGCAACCTGTGTTGACATATTTAGCCCCAGTCACCCATATGTTATAAATCAATTTTCAGCCCCTGGAATACTAATTCACTGCTTCAGAGAGGTGCCTATCTGCTCCTCAAATACTTCTAACAGAAAGGTAGAATTAAAAAGTTTAGCAAATGGTTTAAATATTTATCACATTTTAGAATTAAAAACCAAAGTGTCCTATGTGTGCACATTAGTGACTGTGTTCTGGCAAATCACATGCTGTACTGAAAATTACTCTGCTTTTAAACACCAAGTCCCCATATGTTAGCAAAGAAACAGGCTTACAACCTGTAAATCATCCACTTATGCCACAGGCTCTGAGCAGTTCAGTAAACAATTTCCAGTGGAATATGAACTGCCCTACAACCACATTTACAATTAGTGACAGTGTTAGCTTAAAGTGTGAGTAACAAGGGTGAAACAAAGCAGAAGAGCTGCGTTGCTTCACTTTAAATAGAGGAATTTGTAGGCATATCATACCTATCATTCCAAAGGGCAAGGGGGGATAAGGCTTATTACCGAAGTTCAACCACCTCTGGGTGGAAATAGAAAAACTGGCACTTGGCAGAATTACTGGAGGTGGACAACAGAACTATAAGCCAATAATCCTGCAGAACACCCCTGTCTGAATGGGGCATCAGTGTACATGGGGCCCGTGTTTAACGTCTTTGTTGAAAGGTCAACAAAAACACATATGCACGGTTGTCAACTGACAGTTGAAAGGCTGCATTAGTCAAGAGGAAAGTTTTGCCTGGGAACCCAGGTAATTTAGGTATTTTCAAAATGTCCTACGTATATCCACCAACTAGGAAGAAAGTTCGATGCTGCTTAAGTTCTTTAACGTGAAGCCTCCATGTAAAAGAATGCTGTGGGGACTTGCACCAGGGCAGCCTTCTCCATTTAGCAAAAAGGGCCAGTCATCTGTATTTACACTCCTCTGGGCATGCTGAAGCGTTCCTAAGAGGCAACTATTCTAAAAGTTTGTCTTAAAATAACATTTCTTTGGAAAGGTGAGTTCTAAAGATTGTGAAAAGTAACATTAATTCAGCAGCTGTCCCCCTAACAAATGGTTTATTAAACCGTGAGAGTAGCAAGAGCACTCCCTCTAAATTTAAAAGCAGCTGTGCAGTGGGATGCAGTGGGAAACCTTCAGCTGGTAGTATTTAGAAAGGTCCAAGTGTGACTATCAGTGCTTGGAATACAGACTGTGAACAGGGAAAGACAGACAATCCATTACATATGACACTATCCTTTAAATCTTCAGTAGCCTAGCTGAACTATGGTTCCTCATATAACATCCACTTTATTCAGTGATCTGCTAGACTTCCACTCCTTCCTCAGAGAACTAACTTAGCCTAGGCACGGTTTTAGAAGTGCTAGCCAAAGGGGTTAAATCAGCCTGTAATACACTAATCTAAAAGCTTTTTGGTTTTTCTAACTACCACTTAATATGATTAGCAACAGATGCTCCTAGTACATACAGACACACACACATGCAACATCTCCTGCTCAGGCAACCTCAGACCATTACCTCCAGTTTCTGTGCTCTCTCTTTACTAAGAGGCTCCAGCAGAAAGCTCAGGTTATTGTCATCTGCTAGGGAGCGAAGATCGAAGTAGTATTTGGCGTAAACACTGGCAGGAACATTGATATTAAACTGCAGTAGCTCCAAGAAGTGTCTTTCCATCTCGTTCCTAGGAGGGACAGAAAACAAAGGAAAAAAACGCTGCTTTAGCTGGAAAAGAAAAAACCAACAAAAAAAAACCCAACAGAACAACTGGAGACCTCTAGGCTATTTGTAAAACCAGCAACTTTGAACTAGTCATCGAGAGGCCTGCATTATTCGTTTCAAGAGATGGTTCATTCACTGGTGCTCGAAACAAGGTGCAGCTTTTGGGTCCTGGCACTTTCAGCTGGAAGAGAAAGGTAGTGCCCTGTCGTGCACTCGCAGGGCTGACCAGGAGGCTCATTCTTCAGAGTTCCATTAGTGCAGCTGTACAATTCATGCGCCATTCTCACTCTCTCGTACAGCCCCACGCTATAGTGATCAGATGAAAGGAATGATGTATGCTGTTTATTAGCTCTGAAGAACTTACAGACATTTTCACCAGGCTGATAACAGGAAGGGGGTTTATTGAAGTAGAGTTGGACTAACAAAAGCAGTAGGCAGATCACCACGGCAACAAATGGATCTATGAAGAGCTGCTGCTATTATCTCACAGAAAAAAGCCTCTTGAAGCAACATGGATTCATCTCCAATAAATAAATAAATAAGCAGCATTAGGTGGGAGAAGGAATTTTCTCCTCAATAGCATTAGGCAGGATAACAAAGTACTGTGTTAAAGGGTGCTGTTCGGTTTTTACTCACTCGTCTGTTCTCACAGGGCAAAATATTTGGAAGAAAGTGAGGAAAACACTGCCACAAAAAAAAGGCCATTTCAGCTACTGTACTGTGGTCAGCTAAAAAAAGTTTTTCCTGATGTAAATAAAATCAACCTGCAAGAAATGAGTGGTACCCAAACCACTCAGTGGTTGTTTTACTGGGAACAGACCTTCATCTACAGAACTTGACAACTCTGTAAATTGGTCAACTGCAAATACACGAGGAAATAAGGGGCACTGATTCAGTGGGAGCTTTTAAAATGGATGTTTTACCTATCAGAAGGGGGAAATAAATCAAAGAACCATCCAGGTTGTGTCCTGTACTGGATGGTGGGTGTCAATATCAATAGCAGCTTTGTGCTTGTTTCTAGTATAGTGGACTTGAGTACCATTGAACCTAGTGCCAAAATTAATTTCCTGTTCATATGGTCATAAGCCTATAGAAATGTAAATCAGATAATGTTTTGATGATCAGCTGATCAGAGCTTGATTTATCCTGTGAATAAATGCTCTTCACTGTCCCTTTTGTACTCACTACACTAGTTTAATTGTATAAAAATACAATTCTTCATTGGATTAACAAGTCTATTTATAGTGGTTTAAAACCTGGGAAAGCATAATTCCCATGTGTTTCCTGTGCTTTATTTACAAATATATGTGTCTGAAAGAATGAACAGCATGTGTCCCCTTAACAAGCAATCATAGCAAGATTAGCAGCTGCACAGTTAATTTTTCAGTGATTATGGATTCATTCTCATCAAAGCAAGCAAGTTTTGACAAAGGATGACTTCCAAATATCAGTTTAATTTCCTTTTTTTTCTTCCCATAGGAATATGTAAATAAAACCAAACCAAAAACCCTTTTCAGTTAAAAAAAAAAAAAAAGCCATTGCAAAACTACAACTATGAAAGCTGGCAATTAAGCACAGTGCCAACCATTAATTGAAGGCAGTATTATAAGCTTAAAACTCAGTTTTGCTGAATATTCTAAGCAGTTTTCCAGGGCTCTGTCTGTGGTAAAATTACCCAATCTGAAATAAGTGAACTCTGCCCTGCTGCAGCAGTGCAGGGCCTGGCTGGGCACTCCGGACACTGTCAGAAGGGGGTTGTGCAGTTTCTGGCCAGACCTAAATTCAAAGGTCGAAACCATTTCAAATTAGATGGGATCACAGGAAAAAAAAGAAAAATCCAAACTGAGGGAGAAGCAGCAGCCTAAAGTCTTTTTTTCCCCTACCACCACCACTGCTTTGAAAATGTTAAGTACCAACAATTTCAGAAGATCCAGCATCAGCAATAAAGAATAAGCATCCTGCTTATTACAGATGTTTCAGCGCTATCAGTTTGATTTATCCCAAGGAGGACTAGAAGAAGACACATCAAAAAGAGCAAGATGTATACCCTGGCACTCCCAGCATCGCTGACCTCACTTCAGCCATCTCAGAGCTATTTGCAACAATGCTTCAAGTGTGTTCCTCAGAGAGATAAGCACTCGAGCCAGGTTGAGTGAAGATGCACATTGTGTAAAATCACTAATTATGCTTTCCTGAAAGCATGGCTGCATAGCCCTCTTTTGGGGACAAAGAACCCCCAGACAAGGAGTACCTATAAAACAAGATACTATGTTTCCTGTTGCTGTTTGCAAAGCAAAATAATTTGAAAAAAGAAGAACTTTTGGAAACTAAAAGTGGGGGAGTTTTCTGTATTTCCTTCATCCCTGAAAACTAGAAGGAAGAGCACATTCCTTTTACTGAGGAGTCCTAGATAAATACTGTATTTTAAACATTAGCTTTAAGCTGAATCCAGAGAAGAAAACTTTGGGCAAGGACAGAATATCTGACATAGGGAGCCTACCAGTGCTATGTGCAAATTGCTACTGCCTGTTTGCTCCTGTACTAGAACTGACTTGTACAGTGTAGGCCTGGACAGTCAATCACAATGTGATAAAACTCAGAAACACAGAGTATTTAATGAAGTTTATTAAAGCTAGAATGAATGACACCAAGCTAACCTAGTATTTCTACCACCATCATTATAAAAGAAATGCAGAAGGAAGCAGAGAGAGGGAGAGAGCTTCACAAAAAGGAATTTAACAGAAAATATTATGGGCCAAATCTACTCCCCACAAACATGCTTCTAGCCCATAGAACTTGGCATGGAGCCACCATGATGTACACCCTCTGAACATCCTCTGAAACTGCAGGAACTATAGGACTTAAAGCAGACTTCATAAAGAAAAAGAGTGGATTCCAAAGTTATCAAAAACCGGAACCTGTGTGTGAGACAATAATACGTACAAGAAACAGCTCTACATGAACAAGCAGTAGTAAGATTGGGAATTTTGTTCCCAGCATTGTAGGCAAGTCTAAGAACACACCTGACAAAGAGGACCTGTCACAGTAGTTGGATGCAAGACACACAGCCGCAGATACTAACAGAAATGACACTTGGCTTCCAAGAGCATCAGCTAAGAATTCAGACCTTGAAATATTTATGCATTGGCTGGATACAGGAGCAGACACTTAAATCACAAGTTTCAGCTTACCTTGCAATTTTTCTAATTCCAAGCAAAAACACATGAAATGAGATGATAATTTTTATTTTCCAAAAAGATTTTTGATAAGACTTAAAAATTGGGCTCTTAAGAATTTTGCCAATACAAAGCTGCAAATCCCATGGCTCATCGCTGGGGGAATGATGTTAACAAAAACTAACTTTGAAGTTGCTCACCTCAGTAGTTAGAAATGATAATAAAGATTTGTCTCAAAGACAGCTGAAGCATAGTTCCCTAGGTCACAAAGAGGTAATGAAGCCTGACACCAGAGATGCACTGTGTGTATCCTGTAGCACCAGAGAGAGGCATTCTACATGGCACTATCATGACAACTGCCATTTAGAAAACATTGTAGATTTGTAAAAACTTGCAACTTACATGTCCTCAACAGTAATGTCCTTCAATATTTGGCAGTAATCCACATTCCAAACAGCCTGATCATCCCAGACTTTAGAGGCCAGTAGAATAGCTCCTAAGACTATCCTCTTCCAGTTACTAGGGCAGATGTCAATCTCTGCATAGGTTAAAAGCCTTTCCAAATAAACCTGTTAAAAAAAAAGCAAAACAGTTTTACATGTGGAATCAAGAGTTGGAGCTGATTTCTGATCAAACTCCAGACAAATGTAACTGTGTTATCCCATTATCATTAAGTGTCTAAAAGAAATTACTGGTTATAACTACAGAGGTTGTTTCAAAAATAATGCCTCCTATTTATTTCCATCTACAAAAGATACAAAGGGCACAACAACACTGTTTGATAGAGCAAATTCTCAGCTACAAGACACTATTTTTCAATACAGTCAGCACCATGAGCTATGCGTCTTCTCCAGCAATTAACAGGAGGTAGTGTGCTGTGCTTGTAAAAATCTGCACCAGCAGATGTGACCCAGTGTTGCTACTGCTGAAATGCACCACCCACTGCCTCACTGTGCTCACATCCACTGTTTGGTCTCCATAAATGCTCAGTGAGCACTGACGAATGCCAGTGGGTGGTGTTTTTTCTGCATGGAGGAATTCAGTAACACATCTCTGCTCCATTCACACTTCCCTGTCAGATGCCATTTGGTCAGACTGCCCCTCTGTGGCTCTCTGTCACACACAACATGCAATGGAATATTGGTGGGAAGCTTCAGCCTCTAATGCCATACCACTAAGATTTGCCTCTGATCTCATGGGCCAACAGAATAAAACAGCAGGCATTGCTTTTGGAGCAGTCATTGCATTTACACTTCAGAATCGCAACTTTCAAGAGCAACAGGTTCCTAGTTTTGTTGTTCTGTTACCTAAACCGGTCCCAGTGAAACCTCAGATAACCTGGTGGGTGCAGGAAGCTGTTGTACAGGTCTATGGGCAGCATCAGCCCCTATTTACCAGGGTCTCCCTATGCTTTCTTCCCATCTTTTGCTTGCAGCCTTCAAGAGGACTGAAAGCGTTCGTGTAATAACAGAGCCATCTAGTGGGAAAGACCACTTTAAAAAACAACTCCATTTTTAAAAATACTTTAGATGTCAAGATTGCCTGGGACTATCATCTCATTCTGTCAAATTGCTCGCATGTCTTTGGAAAAGCAGAAACTGAGCCTGCTTAATTGCCACACTGTCTTTTGGTAATAGTTCTTTTCTGTTCTTTTCAGATGGTTCTGCAGACAAGCCACAATGAAAAGTGAAGTCTAGTATGCAACAGAGCACAGCTTAAAGAGACCTTCTAATGCAGTGACTGTATAGGCTGTGTTTTTTCCCTTTCCCTTCAGGTATTTATGTGTGTATGTGTGTGTGTATACGTGCAGGTATATAAACATATGTGTGTGCATAAAGATCAGTACTTTTTAAATCCATCTCGTTTTTGGAAAGCAAACAACATACTCTGGTGAGATGATTTTCTCTTACTACTATTCTCAATTTCCACGCACCTCCATGTCACATAGGGAAAATGGTCCAAAAAGAAAAAAAAAAAAGAGAGAGAAAAAGAGAGCAGATAGAAAGGTGTCTGTGACTGAAGGACATAATAATAAGAAAAGTTAATCTCCTGGAATTCCTGCACTATTGATTCTCAGCCTTTTAGGGCATGTTATTTGCACTGTTCCAGTTAATACAAATTCAAATGTGCACTCTGTACCACAGAAATAAAACATGACTTTGTGTGTGATCTTAATACATCCCACTGTGTACGGTATCTCATGTTCTGCCTCTCTCAAGCTTCTTCAGTGAGTTATATATATTATGAAATTAATAAATATCTGATTGGACAAGTAATTATTACACATTCAAATACAGGAAAGCTAAGATCCTTTTAAGTTATCCACTTCTGTAACTACTTGGAAATATTTTCTAATGAACTTGTTGTATGGCATCTTCATTATTAACATGGTTTCATGAGTTAGTCTAATATCTCAGTTCAGCCCAGTTCATCCACTGGGGGGAAAGACATCTTCCAAAAGCTTAAGACTCAGTAATCAAACATCTCTTACCAGTGTCACTATTGCACATTCAGCTGTCAGCTGTGCAGCGCTGAAAAGCGTCCGAACAAAGCGGTAGATGTGCTTGTGATCAGGGTCATGCTTGTAGTAGTCATCCGGAACTTCTTCCCGCTGAAATAAAATCCTCTGAATTACTGGAAGTTTGTCTTACTACTAACTGAGAAGAGCAGTAATACACAGTTACTTCTTCTCACCAAGCAGAAGCTTACACAACCTTTCCCATCTAAGTGGCAAAACAAAATCATACACTGAAAGAAACAAATAGCATTGCAATGTTATGAATGTTAGAAATGAACCTAAAAACACAATAGCTTTGGCTGATCTATTTGTTGTCAATGCCATTTGGATATGCAAGGCTAATGGGAAAGAGCATGAAAAGTCTTCACAGGACATTTTCTTGAGAAATTCCAGGAACATAACAAAGGTAACAAACAGCTAGATTCAACTCTGACGTGATGCTAAGCTGCTTCTAAATACAGCAAAGAATACAAGCTTAGAAATACATTAGTCTGTAAAAGCAATGCTAAAATGATTGTTAAGCAATATCAAGGCCCTAAAAAGAAAGACTGTACTCTCTCCAGAAATCTAATAGTGATCTTATAGACCTAAAAACCTGTCAGAAAAAGAGACAAGAGAACAAGAATACTGAAACTGAATCATAGAATTGTTCAGGTTGGAAAAGACCTTAAAGATCATCAAGTCCAACCAGAACCTAACCATACTACCCTAACTCTAACAACCTTCCACTAAATCATGTCCCTGAGCACCATATCCAAATGGTTTTTAAACATATCCAGGGATGGTGACTCAACCACCTCCCTGGGGTGCCTATTCCAATGCTTAACAACCCTTTCTGTAAGTTTTTCCTGATATTGAACCTATACCTCCCCTGGTGCAACTTGAGGCCATTTTCCCTCATCCTGTCACCAGTGAGAAGAGACCAACCCCATTCTCACTGCAAGCACCTTTCAGACACTGGAAGAGAGAAATAAGGTCTCGCCTCAGCCTCCTCTTCCCCAGACTAAACAGCCCCAGTTCGTTCAGTCTCTCCTCATAGGGCATATTCTCCAAGCCCTTCACAAGCCTTGCTGCCCTTCTTTGGACCTGCTCCAGCACCTCAATGTCCTTTTTGTACTGAGGTGCCCAAAACTGAGCACAGTACTCAACATGAGGCCTCACCAATGCTGAGTACAAGGGGAAGAATTACCTCCCTAGTCCTGCTCACCACAGCATTCCTGATACAAGCCAGGATGCCACTGGCCTTCTTGGCCACCTGGGCACACTGCTGGCTCATGTTCAGCCGACTGTCCATCGGTACACCAAGGTCCCTTTCCATCAGGCAGCTTTCCAGCCACTCCTCCCCAAGCCTGTAGGGTTGTCTGGGGTTGTTGTGACCAAAATGCAGGGCCTGACACTTGGCCCTATTGAAACTCATACAGTTTACCTTGGCCCATCGATCCAGTCTATCCAGGTCCCTCTGTAGTGCCTTTCTCCCCTCCTGCAGATCAAAACTTCCTCCCAACTTCGTGAACTTACTGAGGGTGTACTCAATCCTCTCATCAAGATCATTAATAAAGATGTTAAATAGGAGCCACCCCAGTACCAAGCCCTGGGGGACACTGTTTGTAACCAGCAGCCAACTGGAATCAACTCCATTGACCACAACTCTTGGGGCCTGGCCATCCAGCCAGTGTTTCACCCAGAAGAGTGTAAGCCCATCCACACCATGTGCAGCCAGCTTCTCCATTAGGATGCTGTGGGGGACAGTGTCAAAGGCTTTTCTGAAGTCCAGGTAGACCACATCAACAGCCTTACCTTCATCCACTAAGCAGGTCACCTTGTCATAAGATGAAATCAGGTTTGTCAAATAGGATCTACCATTTGTAAACCCATGCTGACTGGGCCTGATCCCCTGGTTGACCTTTAATTGACCCATAATGGCTCCCAAGATTATCCACTCCATAACCTTCCCTGGCACTGATATGAAACTGATAGGTCTGTAGCTACTGGGATCACCTTTCTGGACAAAACTGACCACAAAAGTTGACCAGCCAAAATTGAACTGCACATGAAAGTGCATTTTTGCTGACTGAAAGTGGGGAGGAAAAGACTGAGAACATTATTTGTGATTAAGCCCTGTGATGCTACTAACACAAAAGCTTGTTACTTCTGCAGTGAGGCACAACAGAGCCAAGACAGTTACCTGGATTTGGACTTCCTTGTGACCGAATCTTTAGAAGACAACATGTGCAGTTAATTATTAAAGGACCAATGGGTACTAGGCCCCAAACCCTATTGCTGTAGACACTGTAATTATTACTTTTCCCCTCATAAGCATGATGCATGATCTTTACTGTATTTCTGTCTGTATACTGAACTATGATAGAAGAAACCTTTAACTGTTCCCTAAAGGATACAGGGATTTCCCTTTATTCATACTCACTAAATAGGAGGTAAGCAATAGATCATAAGATGTTAAATAAATGCTAAATAGAGGAAATAGACTGTCTGAACAATGATATGAGATCATCTTCCATAAGCAGTTCTCAAAGCAAATCAGCTGATACAGGCAGATACAACAGTTTGGGACCAGACATTTCTGCTGAAGTGCAACAGTGTACAAGAAACCTTCCATAAAGTTAAGCTCTTCTCCTGAAGTTCATTACTTTCATTAGGTTACATTTATTATATATAATTCCTTACACAACGGGTCCTGTTTATGGATGAACCTCTATCAAAACTTGAAACATATAATTGTTTATAAACAACTGCTTATTAACAAGTGAAGAAGGTGAGCTAAGTTAAGCTGCTTTCACTCCGGTAAGTCAGAGAACAAACAATTTTTAAAGCTTTGTCAAATTCATTTCAAGTGATAGACAAAATAAAATAAGCGGTCCTTCAATGCTCACACTGGACACAAGGCATGCACTCCACTCCTGAGCTAACCAGTACTGTCAGGCTTTGCATCCTAGAGACCATCTACAAAGGCCCCAGCACCATATGTGTTAGAATCACATACAGGATGCTCCCAGGTCTTAGTGCAAGCAGCATTACCATGCTGGCTTTAAAATTTTGCCTTTTAAGGCCTACTGTCTTGTACAAATACTGCTTGTAAATACTCCATTTACAATCTAAATGGCTAGGCACATGCCTACTGTATTTTTCCCATACAAATGGAAAAGACTTTTAACCAATTAAAATATTGTTAAAAGAGGAAAACAGACAAGCAGTTTTCATTTGAAATATACATGAGTTAGTATGTGCTTGCTCTAAGTACATCTATTTTTATTTCAGATAATGCATAGAAAAACATATGTTGCACTACTGAGAAAGAGTGGTATAGCTCATACCAGAAATCCACAGGACACCATCTGCACTGTACTTTCTATATAAAGATGTAATTTTAAATAATTTGCTTCTGATCTGGTGCTAATACATTTTTGTAACTTCTACAAATCAAGATAAAAAAGAATACTTACTGTGAGAGGATGAGATTTTTCATCAAAAATATCCAATGATCTGTCTGAATCTCTGCAAAGCAAAGATCTGTTTTAACACCAGGACTTCATTGGTAATGCTATGCTCCATTAAAAAATATTATCCACTGAAGAATAAAGGAACAATTTTTATACTTCAGCTTTTCCTAGAACAACAGATAAAGCTATATTGCATTTTTTGTAAAGCATTTAATGATGAGATCTTACAACCAAATATTTAACAAGATAAACAATGAACCCATGTTCTCGCCAGGAAGTCCAACCAAATTTCCAAATACAGAACCATTGTTTATATTACACTCAGTGCACTTCTCCGTTAGAATGTGACACCATCTCATTCATGGCATTTATTATTTTAGAAAGGCAGCTGCAATTTTGAAACGTGTGCTGTAATTAGCTGTAATGGCAGTGGTTATTTGTACATAGAACATGGTGTTCCTTCAAACATCAAAACTAATCTGTCCCTCTGTACTCAGGAAAAGCAAAACCAAATCTAAAGGCTGATTTGCAGTGAGTTAAGCGTACCTCCCCTCACTCTCTCTGCTTTGATATCTTATGCTTCGCTGTTGAAGAAGCACGTGCCTTTGGACGGGCATTTCACTGACCATTATGTATCAGCTCAAGAAGGGTACAAAGAGAAGGCAGATACATCATCAAGTTTCCAGATTTTTTCAACTCCCTTAAGCTACAACTAGTTGTTACTGAAACACCATGGCTATAACCCTGGCTCAAAAATAAAATTGATAAGTTTCAGAATAAAACAATCCTGGAGTTTACTCACCTGTTCTTTATATGGTAGAATATTGCTAATGTTACGCTAAAAAGAAAAAGAGAAAAAAAGACTTAAAGCATATTCTGTGCAGACTATTCCACTGCAGAAGCTGTTGTTCAGGGCAAACTGTTCAAAATCTATTAAGTCTTCTCATGTTCCCAAGTACCCCATGCCACATTTCTGTTCTTCACCTGCCTGAACAGAATCTACCCAAATCAGATTTGCTAGCCAAACTGCTTTTAAATGTGGTACAGACATTTGTGCCATGAAAGAATTACACCAAATTTAAGCACATACCTTCACTGTGATTAAGTGATATTTATTAAAAACACAGACTGTTCACAACTTAAGTATGGTAACAGTTCTATTTAAGGCTACATAAATCCTTGTAGAGACTCTGCTGGTATTTTAACTTTGCATCTCTTGCTATGTAGTTTAGGATACATCTAAGTCTAAAAACAGAGCAAAATAAAGAATGCCAGCATAATCCAAGGAGGATTCAGTCTGTGCTGAGTCAACTCAGACAATAAAGCTGACACTCATCTAATGAGGCCAGATTTCCTATTTTTGTAGTGACAACAAGAATACTGCCATCAAAGAAAGCTATCATGGGCAAGCACTGATCTATTGCCAGCTATGCAAGGCTTAAAAATGGCAATGGCACCAAAGGACAAGTGACGTGCTTAATACCTGTTTGAAATCAATTTGAAAGCAGCAAATCATCTTAGTATTTCCAATCTCTATTGAACTGTTAAGACAGTAAAGCTTTCTGGGCCTGAAGCTGCTGTTCTTCCTTTCACTTGGAGTACTTCTCATTTCTCACCTGGTATAGTTTACGTGAAAAGAACAGTTTCTGTAGTATCCAACAGATAAAACAGTCATTTCCATTGGAGAACCAAGAAGACTAAATAATTATCTTAACTACCCGAAGTAACAAACACACCAGGAAAACGTAGGCAGGCTGGAAGTAAAACCAAAGCCAGCAACCTACCTTTATACACAACTAGAGGGCAGACTAACACCACTGGCAAGCAGCAAACAGTCCTATAAACTTTTCCTGAGACTTCCTACAAAATCCATTTCAAGTTTTCCCAGATCTACAATTTGATCACTGAACTCCTTCCAGTACATACTTTAGAACCCCAAATGCCGACATATTTCTGCACTGGTTCTGGTTCTCAAGTGTATGATGACTCATCTGAAATACACATTAGCCCTGTAGCTTTAAAAAAAAACAACAACAACCCTGCTTCAGTAGGGTACCCCTTCCACAACTAACCTAAACAAGCAAAGCTGTGTTCCTATTGCTCAGCTGTATGGCTAGCTTTGAAACAGACAATGCCACAAAATCCCAAACAGATATTGCTTATTCCCTGTCGATAACAAATGGTTCTTACCACTTTATTGTGCTTCTAAGATTAGGTTGACTGACTGTACTGTCATCTATAAATATTGTTGAGCATGAGCTGTATTTTTTTGTAAGCTGTCCTGGAGAAACCTAAGGGAGAAGAACAGGAAAGAAATTCATGAAGATTGATTATGTAAGCTTGGTTTACCACACTGAATACTGGCTTTAAAGCTCAAGTAGCTACTGACATCTTTGAAGATGACTGCTCCTGATGTGCATGTTACCTCATAGCCATCAGGTTGCTTAGAACACCCTTTGTATAACATAGGCTTATAAGCCATCTCTTGCAATGCACAACACATTTTCAGATGATTACTTTCCAGCAGAAATAGCTCCAGCTAAAGCAGCAAGTCCTTCTTAGCTCTCCTCTACTCCGTTCTTGTCAGATCTGAGGTCTCCGTCTTTCCTCTCCATTATGTATTTTCTTATAATTCCCTCTATCTCCACTTTCTCCTTTCATCATACCATACCCTACACCTTTAAGTTTTCTGGTTATCCAGCATCTCTCCCAGCATCTCTCCCTGTAAAAACAATTTTGCTTTTGGGGCTGTGTTTTATTCCATTTTAGAAAACAATAAACCTTTTCTTAACGCTGCTCTCTTCAATCATGTCTTGCTAAGCACCTGGAGTCTGGAAATAAAGACTATCATGTTCCATCACCTATACTAATGCATAGATTTAATACTTGAAGAAATTTTCCTACCTTACTGTAACACTAACTCAGGCTTCCTAAGCAGTTTTAGCCTGGAACTCAGGCTAGAACACTGTAACCGAGGGAAAAGCTTTAATCTAGCAATTGAAGATTAATTGGTTTTGCCATCATCGTTTTAAATGCCCTGTCTAAAAACTTGAAGAACTTCCATATGAAAAGGCTGACACCCTTCAAAGCATAATGGCTGCCTGGGAGCATCTCCCACTCCAATGGAAGTCTGCCAGCAAAAATGAACCAATCACAGTTTACCTTGGTGCTGGGAGACTGAAGCTGGAGTTGTAAGGGAAAAAGGTGAAGGAGGACACAACCTCACCGTTGTACTTAATACAATACTCTTGAAATAGTGTTATCTTACCAGTAACTTATCAGTAGACACTTCTGCTTGGCAATGCTTTTAAACTTTGTTTAGTAACTTTCACTCAGCCTTACTAGTCAAAAATGTTTGTATCCACTTATTAATGACATTCCATCTTTTATATCTTTTTAAATTGAGTCGAAGAAAAATGTCTAATGTGTGCAGAAGAAGCTTGGAGCACGTGTTCAGCTACTGGTTTATCATCTGTTCATGCTAATGATATCATTTATTCATTATTCTCTTAATGCTGAACACATTTCTTACAATAAGCCTTGCAGCGATGCTCAAAGAGCAAGTTGTTTAAGACTTGTCATCTCAGCTAAGAAATTAATTCAGTTTTATTCCTGTTTCAAATACTAACAGGCAGTTTGACTTTATTTTATTCTATACTGTTTCAGAATGCTTGGGAATGATATGACAGAATCCATTATTATTCATTCTTTGCCATCAGCCACTCTATGCACTATAGTTCTATGCCTGTTTATTTTTTTTAAAGACAGGCAAAGGCAATTCAGTTTTATCTTGCTAACAAGGATTTAGAATGAATGCAGGACTACATATGTACAACCACTACAGCTGTTTCTGGAATTTGTCTTTATCTCATGTACTCATATTACCTAAATGGCACACTCTCTGAGCTTTACTCACATGGTTGATGTGGTTACTCTTCCTCTTCTCTCGCACTAGAAAAATGGAGAAAGAATATCAACTGAAAAGTTTCTAAAATGTAATCCTGATGCATTCAATAACGTCATTCTATTAATCTAGTCTTCTCAAGTACGTGAGCATTAAAAGTTTCTAATTTCACTGCTGGGTCTCTGGAGGAGTGAATTTTTAACAAAAATGCTAAGTTTTATCAAGCTGATAAATGATGTACTACTTCCAGCTATCCACACGTATGCTCTGGAAAACTACCCGCTGCACTAAGAGGAAAGCATCTCAGCACTGAAAAAGATATTACACATCATGGGAAAACCGGATTACAGATAGTTTGAATAGACAGTGTCTAATGGCAAACAGCACTTAGCAAACAGAAGTGAAAGCATCACACTGTGACTCTGCCAGAGACACACAAAGAAAGTGAAATGCCCAGCGTTATATATGTGCTCTCTCCTATTAGACAGCATAAGGTAAAATGGTGTTTCACTACAAGAAGATGCAGGAACAAGCAGTATTATCAGGTAATTCAACCCCTTTATCTGACCACCCCAAATTGTGTCAGACTTCCTAAAAAAAAAGAGACGAGGGTTAACTTTCAGCTGCTGTAAGAGCATCAGAGAAGCAAAACAGTGCTGTTAAAGGAGAGCTCAGAGTTTCATGCTAAAGGAGAAGCATGTAGTTTGAGGAGTGCAACAAGCTGTACGTGTGACCAGTCTGGGCAGATGACAGACCCTTTCCACAAAGGACTCACCCATAGGCAGGGCACATTCTCACACATTAGAAGCCACCCCAGAAGAGACCTGCACTTCTTTTGTACCATCTCCTCTGGGGAATCACACCACTGCCCCTGTCCTCTGCTCAGAGATTACCTGGGTGCTGCAGAGCTGATACAAGTGATGATTTCACCACTCGCAATATTAGCAGCACTGAAGTGACAGACTGCCCTGTGGGGAAGCTCCTACAAGGTAGAAGATTCTGTGGCTTTCCATCACCCCAAGTGCAACACTAGCTTAGAAAAAAAGCTTCAAAACAAGAATTAACTAAAAAAGGCACAGAAGCATTATCTTAAGCTCCTTTTTTGTTGCAGCTTCAAGTCCTAGTATTGTCGGAATTATTTTTTATTTATGCAATATGAAGTCACCTCTACTAATAGAAGTATTTTGAGTATGTAGCTATGGTAATTGACTTTCTGATTTAAATAAGGGCTCTGCAAAGAAACTGAAAATCCCAATACATCCATGTAATTAAAACAGGATTCAAGAATAATTATGCTGCTGAAGCTATTCATATAGCTTCAAACAATCCATGCAGAAGCAATTGATTAGGACTGATGGCTTAGGCTTACAATTCCCCCCCTCCCTTTTTTTTTTAAACTTAAAATTATTTTTTTAAATTTTAACTTAAAAAAAAAATGTTTTTAAGAATCCTCAGACATAAAAGCAAAAATGAAACAAAAACCCCCAACATTACTGCACGAAGCTTGAGTTCCATTTGTGAAGCACAAACACCTTGCTCGGAAATCTCCTGATATTTAAGTCTTTATAATCACAAGTGTTTTTAAGCATTACATAAAGAGCCTGCAATGCATTTCTGTGCTAACATGGAAATTATTAATCCCTATGCCTTGAAAAAATTAAATTAATTCAAATGTTCTCATGGTACGTAAATAAAACAGGCAATTTTTTTTCTGTTTTCCTCCCCGCTTTTTAATTGGAAAAAACCTTTGCTTACCATCTGTTTGAGACTTGCTCAGGAAAATTGTGCTTGCTCTGGGATGATCAGATGGATTGGATTCCAAGGCTAAATCTGAAAGAGAAAGCACAGAAAAGGAGAGGCCATCAACAGAGGACTAAGATTGCTGCAAGGTTCTCACCCAGCCTTAAAATGCTCGAGTGCAGTGATGGAATCAAGATCAGAATCACACAAAATGAGCTCTCTCAAGCAAAATCTCTCTTTTGCCAAGATAAACAAGAATCTGGCATTTTCCTCTCAGAAAAAAGCCTGTGGACTCATTCCTACCACCACGCTGCTCTCTGAAGTAGCACACGGTGTCCATCAGAACCAAGGCAGGGCAGGCAGCTGGAAGCAGAGCCTGGGCTCATACCAGGCAGAAAACCAGAACCTCACTGAGGCCTGAATTTACGGAAATGGACACTGAAAGCCTTACTCTCCCTCTGTGCTTTATGTATCCAGTTGGTCAGTAAATAATCTTTGTGAACTTATAAAGAATTCAGTAAGTAACATAGCATGCTGATAAGTATCAAAACACGGATCTAATACTATTCTTTTGGAATTTCAAGTAAAACTCAGTGTAGCTAATACATGGCTAGATAAAAATACAATGATGGCTTTACTCCTTTGCTGCAACAAACTAATGGTGGTACTAGATAAGGATACAGTGTTCCCTCTAATTAGATTAAGATAGGAGTGAACTAATTAAATCATCACGATGAATTTTGATCTGCATTAGCATAACTTCTGCAAGCCACTGTTTTTGCTGTTGTTTTTGCACACACGCTAACTTCTGTAAGCACATAAGCAGAACCATCACTCTAACAGTAGGATCTTGGAAGGAGCAAACTCTCAGCAACTTACATCCTCATCTTCATGTGTGCTATTCATGCCATGCTAACCATCAGAGCAAGCAAGCTCACAACATCAGTGTTCCAAGGCAGTATGTCAGTGTTTTTCTAAGTGTGACAACTGCAAAGTTATCAAAGAATCACCATCAACTTTTCATGGAAAAAAAACAAAAACAACTTAAGAGCTTTTTATGCACATGATAAAAGAGCTCGGGGTGAACAACAGCCAAGTACACACAAACCATCTTGCTGCTAGAAGCCTTAGCAACAGGAATCCACAGCAAAGCCACAGCCCTCACAACAGAACGCAATTGTGAGAGTGTGTATGCCCAAGAGTTCTTGTTCCAAGTTCCCACTGTAACACAGCATCAGTACCTAGGCCTGGATATTCTCCAGGTACTTGGCTCACATCACTGATGTCAGTCCAACAGCATCGTTCTGACACCAGTTCAGGATGCAGACCACCACAACCTTGAATCTCTAATACACAAATAAAGCAGCCAGCATCCATTAAGGAATGTGACAATTTTACATCCAGGAATTTTCCCTCTCAAAAAAGGCCGTTGTCAGCTATGAAAGAAAATCATCTTGAGCAGGTTTTAAAAGCTAATGGGAAGTCAAGTCTAACCACCATGGGTTTGTGAAGGGTAGGTCCTGCTTGACCAACCATGCTCTCCTTCCACAATCTAGTGATCTGCCAGGTGGATGAGGGAAAGGCTGTTGACGTGGTCTACCCTGACTTCAGCAAAGCCTTCGACACTGTCTCCCAAAGTATTCACTTGGAGAAGCTGGCAGTCTGTGGCTTGGATAGATACACTGTTTGCTGGGTAAAGAACTGGTTGGAAGGCCAGGCCCAAAAAGTGACGATGAATTAAATCCAGCTGGTGACCGATCGAGTGGTGCTCCCCAGGAATTGGTGTGGGGGCTTGTCCTCTTCAATATCTTTATTGATGACCTGGATAAGCACATTGAATGTACCCTCAGTCAGTCTGCAGATGGCACCAAGTTGGCCAAAAGTGTCGATCTGCCTGGGGATTGCAAGGCCCTGCAGAGGGATCTGGACAGGCTGGATAGCTGGGCTGAAGCCAATAGGATGAGATTCAACAAGTCCAAGTGCTGGCTCCACAACCCTAGGCAATGCTGCAGGCTTGGGGCAGAGTGGCTGGAAGACTGTGTAGAGGAAATGGACCTGGCGGTATTGATTGATGCTCAGCTGAACATGAGCCAGCAGTGTGCACAGGTGGCCAAGAAGGCCAATGGCATCCTGCCTTGCATCAGAAATAGTCTTGCTACCAGGAGCAGGGAAGTAATTGCCCCTCTGTACTCTGAACTACTGGCAACAGATGGACACTTGGACTGGATGGTCTTGTAGGTCTCTTCCAGCTTTGGCAATTCTATGATTCTAACACAAAAGCAGTGTTTCTATTTCCACTTTACTGCGCTCATTCATGGCATACAGTAAGCAGATACAGGCATTTAATCATGTACTTAAAAATGTGAAGAGGTCCAGAAGTCCTAGAACAGAATTTGCCTTTCTGCTTATAGATAAAGTACCACTTGTACATATCTGGTTATCTGAAAAAAATCCAGCATGTAATAGCATGCCACACTGCCACGTTTTAACTACTATTTGTAATATCTCAACAAATAGCATAACCTGTTTAAATCATTTTAAAAAGATAATATAAAGACCAACTCTAGTTTCCTGTGTTAGCACCCTACAAAAAAAAAAAAAAAAAAGCTGATATAAATCAAAGAATTTGCTGATGATGGTAAATTTCAAGTAACTTTCTGAATTTGAGAGAGAAGTTATTCAGAAATGGAGGTATTTTACTAGACTGCGTTCAGTTTTGGGCTCTCCATTATAAGAAAGATGTCAAGGCCTTGGAGTGCATCCAAAGAAGGGCAACAAAGCTGTGAAGGTCTGGAGCACAAATCTGATGAGGAACAGCTGAGGGAACTGGGATTGTTCAGTCTGGAGGAGGTTCAAGGGAGATCTCATCACTCTCTACAACTCCCTGAAAAGGAGGCTGTGGTAAGGTGGGGGCTAGCCTCTTGTGCCAGATAACAGCAACAGGATGAGAGAGAACGGCCTCAAGTTGTGCCAGGGGAAGTTCAGGTTGGGGATTAGAAGGGATTCCTTCTCAGAAAGCAGTGAGGCACCGGCACAAGCTGCTCAGGGAGATGGTGGAGTCACTGTCTCTGGAGGTGTTCAAGAACTGTGGAGACGTGGCACTGAGGGCCATGGTTAGTAGGCATGGTGGGGCAGGTTGGGGTTGGACTGGGTGATCTTAGAGGACTTTAAAACCTTTATGATTCTATGAGATCACCAAATGACTGAAGTGTTGCCAACAGACAGAGCATGACTGCAAAATGCATAATTAAAATACAGATCATTACTAGCAAGTCATGATGTTAACAGAAGAAATAATTTGCAATTTATTTACAGTTTAACTTCTAGAAGAACAGACAAAGTCAGGAGGGAACAGATCTCAGGAGGTCCCTAGTCCAACCTCTTGCTCAAACAGGGTCAGATGAAAGGTGGAACAAGGCTGCTCGGGGCTTTAGCCAGTTGAGTCTTAAAAGCTTCCAATGGTTTTAAGACTGCACAGCCACTCTCAGCAAACCTATTCCAATGCTCAACCATGCTCACAGGAGAAGATGTTTTGTTATAACCAGTTGGAACTTCTTGTTTCAATTTATATCTTCTGATGTCTCATCTCCCCACTCCACACCTGTGAAAAAAGCCTGGCTATGTCACCCCAGCATACCTTGTAGGTAATGACAAACTCCTGTTAACATGCTTGAAAACTTGGCTTTTTCTTCAGGCCAGCTCCCCAGCTTCTCTTAACCAGTCGCTTGTTCCAGGCCCTAGAGAATGCTGAACTCCCTCCAGCTTATCAGCATCTCTCTCTCATACTGGGGGCCCAAAGCTGGATGCAGTTTCTAATACAGCCTGGATACAGTCTAACAATAGTGAGAAAAAGGGGACAATCACTTCTTTCAAACTACTGGCTCTCTCTGCTAACACAAGCCAGGATGCTGCTGGTCTCCTTTCTGCAGGGGCACACAGCTAGCTCAGGGTCAGTGTGCCATCCACCAGCTCCTTCCCCACAGAGCTGCTCCCCTGCCAACCAGTCCCCGGCTGTGCTGCTGCTCGTTCTGGCCACCGGGGGCAGGAGGTTAGGCCATATGATTAAAGGCTCATCCTCCACCCCAGGGAGATGTGGAGAAGCCCAATAACACAATGAGTGTGCATGGAGCACCGCAACCAGGTTGCTCTCCTGGTTACCAAAGAGGATGGTCAGCCCATTACCTGTGCACAGGAGGGGAGTCAACACTGCTCAAACCACCTTACCCATTGAGGGACATTGATGCCTACAGGGCTCACTGAGGAATGGCACAGAAGGGCATAAGGGAACAGTACAAGATCTACGTTATATTTAAAGGGAACACCAAAAGCTGGGAAAGGGAGGGAGCAAAGTAGACTGGGGAGGAACAAGCACAGGGAAATAGAAAGGTCAGACACCTGTAAACAGGCTGTTGGTCAGCATGCTTGTCTGGCCAGCCCTGGAGCCCAATCACTACAGTCTCTCCTGTCTGCGCAGGTCTGGGCACCAGCACTTGGAGCTTGTGTCCTGGTGTCATTAACTGGGGAGCTACTGGACAGACAGTATGTCTGAGACCAGCAGGGTCCCATACTACATACATGTATCTGAACAGGTAACAGGCTTTCAGCTAACAAGCTTTCACCCTGATCAGCCGCAGAGGGGAACAGGATGAGGTAGCTGACGTTGGTATGTCTGTATGTTGTGTTTTCTGTCTGTTTTGACCCATATGCCAGCTGTGTAATTGTGCATATGAATGCCTTTTGGGAAAGCACGTACAGACCTACAGCTGCAGAAGCCTCTCTTCTACTGGGCTGCTGAACGTGGTAGCTTCTAACATGATTTTGCATTTCTCTCTGCAGAATTCCACAGGACTTGCTGGCCCAGCCCTCCAGCCAGGCCCCTCTGAATAAGCAGCTTTCAGCATATTGACTGCTGCCCAGTAGGGCATCACCTGGGATTTGAACACCCTCCATTGCCTCTTACAGCTCACTGATAAACGTCTAACAGGAATTTTTTTAGTTCTTGGGAAGAGACAGTAAGAGGTAAATAACACCCATCCTCCCTCACCCCACAGGAAAATAACTGTTGCCACTCAATTTCCCTGGGGTTTTGA